ACTAAGAACTTTAGATTTAACTTATAAGTATTATAAGTATATACTTACATATAACTACATATTATATACAAAAGATAAGTATATAACTATACATTATATATACAAGTATCACATATTCACATATATGTATATACTTATAAGTATATATAAGTATACATTAATTATATACTTAGTATATATATTTATACTTATATACTTATATGTATATAGTTATAAATATATATACTTATATGGTATACATGATTAAGTATACACTTATATGTATATAAACACATAAATATACTTATTTAATATACGTATTACATAGTTATATGTGTATTTTTACATACTTACATTATATATATATTATATATATATATATTATATATATATATATATTTATATATATATATATTATCACTGTTTTAAAATATCGCCGATAATCGATATTGATCGGCCGAGTTATCGGATTTGGGAGCTCTCCGATAGGATAACTTGGATTTTGAATCGGTTATCGTTTTTTTTTGCAAGTTAATGGAGTTATCGGCCGTGTACGGTACTTATCGGACCATAAGGTAAGGTTTTTTTTTATCGGGGATTATCGGCTGATAAGTGAAGGCTATTGCAATCAAATGTCGTTTCATCGTGCCGGTTCAAGATGCAAGTTTTTTGTTCTTCTACAATTGGTTATGTGATTCTTAACATGATGATTTATATTTTTGGTATGTTTATATTTCATTAAGCAGTGGTTTAGATTACATTTTTTTTATGTTTATTATATATTATATATATACACCAATCTAGTATATCACTCCGATAATACTTACTATATCCCGATATTATCCCGATTTCCGCCTATCCGATAAGAATTTTTGGCCGTTTTCCGATAGAATTCCAACGATAACCGATATTTAGAAACTTGATATATATATATATATAATATATATATTATATATTATATATATGAGATTAATGAGTTATCCTTGACAAGGACTTGGGGATTTTTTCTCATTGAAATGATGCTGACACAATCCCCACCACTGTAAAAGGAGAGAGAATAAAGTAGGCAGGAGATAATTTCACATTGCGTGCAGAACTTTGTCACATTCATTGTTAGGAGGGAATCCCCCTCCTTTGTCAAGCCATCAAGCTACCCATTAATCTCTCTCTCTCTCTCTTCATCTTATATATATATATATATATATATATATATATATATATATAAACTTAAAAATATATACTTATACAATATACTAATAAGTATATACAAGTATACATAGTATATACTTAGAGGAGGGGGTGTATGCGTGTCTGTGTGTATACAGAGAATAATAACAAAAACCACATCAAATATAACACAAATTAGTTTGGTTATTTGGTAGATGACCATGCTTCGAACGTCAAAATCACTAATTTTAACTATATTTTTAAACTATATATGTATATATGCACCTAGACCCACATCCCAGGCCAGGCCCGCACTGAGCGGGGCACCGGTGAACCAACTCGGGCCCGATACTGGGTTGGACTTGGTTTTCTGGGCTTTTTTTGGGCCCGATCTGGGTTCCGAACCGAACTGGGCCCAAGCCGCGAGTTGTTTAGACACCCTAACCTAGGGTTTCTATTGGCTTATGTGTCTAGGGTTTCTTTTCGCCTCGATATGTTCCTAGTTTAAGGGTCTTCTATTTCTAGTTGGTTGATCATCTACTTATAAAAAATAAGGATTTGGTTGTGATCGTTGTCTGACACTATTTTGACTCTTGGCTTATTGGGTTGCTACTTCGTGAGATATATTTCCTGCTCAACAGCTACTTCAAATGAAGCAAACAAATATATGATGTTCTTCAATTGCTCCAAACAGAGTTAACTTGAAAGTGCTTTTTAAGTAATTGTTTTGCTCTCATAAGTAACAAGCATGTCATATATAATATATATGCTCCAACTTGGGGGGATAGTAGATGATATTATATGTTTAACTATTTAGATATTTGGGTAACTAGGCCAATCTCCATATCCGTTTGTGTAACCCACCTATTCTCTATTTAAGAAAGATTAAGGTTAGATTAAATAAGAACTTAGCATTCTCTATTGCTCTACAAAAAAGTCAAACACTTTCTTGCTTTCTTAATTGTGCTCTACTGTTCCTAAAAAAAGAGATGATTTTGAGCTGAGTTGCTTTAGTGTAATAGGATTTAGAATATTAAGCTTAAGATTTAGAATATTAAGCTTAAAATTAATTATTTAGGTCCTTACACCAAATAACAACCACCACCACCAAGCCTTTATCCCAAACGTTTGGGGTCGGTTACATGAATCCTATTTTTTCATTTCATTCTGTTGCGGGTCATTTCCTTCGTTACATGAGTCTTAATCATATCCTTCTTAATTGATTCTGACCATCTCCTAGCCCCATTAACTCTAATCTATGAAGCACGGACACAGACACGGCAAACCCCAAAAAAATAGGACACGGTGACACGGCTAAATTTTTTAAATATTATTATTATATATAGATCAATATTGAATTAAATTCTTATTATATTTTTATATTTTTTGTTATGTAAAGTGGAGATTATAAATAAGAAACTAAAGGAAAGTGTGTGTTGCAGGTGTGAATTAAGACGTTGGGATGACAATGATCTCTTGGAGAATTGAAGACAATAATGCTAAAGAAGACAAGAAAGAAAAGATGAACATATAGTAAAACAATAATTAAAATCATAATTAACAATAAAGTAAAACAATGACAGGACATAGTATGAATAACGAAAAAGTAAATCCTACTTCTCATTTTTATGTTATTCTCACATTTTTATACATACTGCTTCCATTTGTAAGGATAATGACACAGCTTTTAAACATTTCAAATGACAAAAGTTTTAAATTTTGCAGGTTAAATATAACCAAGTTCATTGACTAGATAAATTAAAATAAAAAACAGTAAAAACAGAAAGAGAGAGAAAAGCAACTGAGAGAGGAAGAGATCCAATAAAAGAGAAAAGCAACTGAGAGGAAGAGATCGGGGAGAGAGAGAGATCCATAGAGAGACTGTGAGAGAGAGAGAGAGAGATCGAGCGATCAGAGAGGGAAGAGATTGGGGGGAGAGAGAGATCCAGAGAGAGGCTGAGAGAGAAAGATCCAGAGAGAGACTGAGAGAGAGAGAAAGATCCAGAGATCGGAGAGGGAAGAGATCATGGAGAGAGAGATCCAGAGAGAGGCTGAGAGAGAGAGATCAGAGAGAGAGATCGAGAGATCAGAGAGAGATAGAGAGAAAGAGACGAAGAATCAGAGAGAGAGATCGACAGACTGACCTAGCCGACGAGGATGACGACGAGGACAATTTGCTGAGAGGACGACGAGGACGACAATGATGATCGAGGCCGACGAGGCCGACGAGGACGATTGAGAGAGAGATCGCAGCGTTTTCTTTTCAGCCGGGATCAAGAGAGAGATGAGTCGATCGGGCGAGTGAAAAGTGAAAACTAAGGTTAGGGTTTGGGTTTGGCTTTGGGTTTCGAGTTCACAAATTCTTTTTTTTTTTTGCCCTCTCAGCCGTGTCGAGAACAAAACAGCGTGTCGAGAGCGTGTCGGGAGCGAGTCGGCGACGTTGACCGCGTGTCTGACGCGTGTCCCAAGCGTGTCCGCTTCTGACACGCGTCGGAGACGGACTTGGGGCCTTTTTTCAAGTGTCGGTGCTTCATAGACTCTAATATTATCAATTTTCTTAATCGGTGCACTAAGGGATCTCATTTGTACATGACCAAACCATCTTAATCTATTCTCTCTTATTTTATCCTTAATAGATGCAACCTCTAATTTACTACGAATGAATTTATTTCTTTTAGTGTATATCCACAAGACCATCGCAACATTCTCATTTTTGCTACACTCATTTTTTTGAACATGTTTTTAAATTGCCTAACATTCTGACCCATAAAGCATAATTGATCTTATAACCGTTCTATAGAATTTTCCCTTTAGTTCATTGGTATTCTACGATCACATAAGACTCCCGAAGCACTCCTCCATTTCAACCATCCCGATTTAATTTGATGCACAACATCATCCTCTATCTCACCATCATGCCTAATGATAGATCCTAAATAGCGAAAAAATAAACTAGAAAATTGACTATTGCAGCAAACAAAGATTTGAAAAGGATACCTTCCTCTTTCATGGATTTTCCTTCATCAAGATATATATGGTAGAAGGATAATTTTTTTCATAACCAATATATGAAATGTGAACACAAGAAAACAAATCCCCCAATGAGAACTATACGGAACTGCAAAACTCTATTAAAAGAACAATACAAATACAAGAGCTTCACTATATCTCTTAATCAGCAAGGTTAAGGCTGGATACAAATAAAACCTTAAACTTTTACTAGCATTTTCATGAGGAAACAAATATGATGTAAAACCAACTCGATCAAGAGTAAATGTTGCTTGGGTTTAGTGTGAAGAGAAGGGAGACAAGTTATGTCTATACTTTTGAGGAAGAAGACTTGTATTATTGAGGGGTATTTTAGAGGGGGGAAAAGCAAATAATAAATGGATTGTAACAGTTTCTTTCATGACAAGGGGTTTTGTAATGAAAAGATAACGTTACAGGGTTTCATAATGTGACCAAACTTGATGAGGGTTCCATAACAATTACCCTTAAATATAAGCAGTGAGAGTGATGCTACAATCAGTAGAAGGCCGAGTGACAGTTAACTGTATCACGCTAAATAAATGTTATAAAAAATCAAGAAAGGCAATTACGGAGATCAAGAAAGAGGTTATTTGCTATGTATCATGAAATGAGATTATCAGCAAAAAGTTGAGACACCTGCTTTCAATATAGTATGGAAAGCAGAGGCACAAGGTCATCGATATACCATCCAAGTGATAAATTATTAATTCTAAAACTTCCCTTTTTTCGGGAGTTTGGAAGACCAATATTTTAAAAGAAGCTCCAAGCAAAAATGCATAAACACTCTGAGAAAAACATACTGTCATCTTAAGAAAATACATCACCTGAAGTTTTAGGATACGCAAATCAGCTTCTATGAGGACCATCTTCATTTCAAAACCTTCATCTTTACCTGTTTAAGATAAATGAAGTTAATAATCACTTATCTGAAAGAAGAAAAACTTACTAAGTCCAATTAGCTGATATAAGGTGAAGGTAAAGATGAAAGGCAAAGCAAAACTGATTTTTTTCATAGTTCACAATCAAAGTGCATCAAATAGCTTTATGAAAAATATTCAGCAGAGTGAGATATTGTCGCCAATCCTGTTTAGTACTGTTGGAGTTGGAAAGGCCATAGACTAAGCAAATCTACTTAGGTCCAAGTTACACTAAGAGTAACTGTAACTCAAGTGTGTTCCACCATAAGCTCTAACCCACAACTCAAAATCTCAAAGCAAACAAAGCATCCAACAAAGCCCACCGAACCAAAGGCTCTGGCACCAATTTGTTGGTGCTGGAAATGTCTATCAACAGAGATGGACTAGTTAATCTACCTGGACCCAACATATTTAACCATATTATCCATCTTCCTCTCTTGTGGGACTGAATCCCATCCCATGTCTTTTTCTAAACCAAACCAACACTCTCAACAAATAAATGCAAAGACATCCCTTAACTAGTGTAAGTAGAGCAGTAACATGGTACTTTGTTAAAATTAGCGATTTTCCAGATAAATGGTCTGTAAACCTGACAAAATAAGGTGTGCAAGGGTTCCAAAAGGTCTAGATAATGATCCACAGTTCTGTTTCTGAATGTATACTTCCCACGCCATATATATAAGAACCTTTGGCTATCTGTTTAGTACCTTCTTAACACAGGCAAGAAAAATTATAGACGCTTGGTTTATGAACACTCCAAAGATCAACTTGAGCAAAACAGCTTGTCAGATAGTGCGACCTATTGAATGAGGGGATTTGCTTCCTTCCAAATCCTTCAAAAGCAGCCGTTCTGGCACACATACACACATATACATGTATGTAGGTATCATATATATGTGTAAGATAGTATAAATGATTTTGGACACCATCTGAGCATAGAATCACAAATTAACATGGCATAAAAAGGAACATTTTTTGGTAGCTCTATGATCAAGCCATGCTTTATGGCTCAGGATGATAGGCGACAAAAGACAACTCCTGGAAATAGTTGTTGCTCAAAGGAGTACCTTCAAATGAATAAGTGGTAATACATAAAAGATATATAAGGGACTAATGTCAGCAAGAAGTTAGAGCTAAACTAGTTGAGGTTGCTAGGCGTGTTCAATGGATAAAGTAAACTAAGTGTAATACTAAGGAGAGAGATGATCATAATTAATGGAGAAAGGATCTGAGGGATTGAGGCAGTTAAAAAGGATATCAAGGCTGGTTAGGCAATGAAGAAAATGGTCCTCGGCAGAGTTGAATGAAGACAAAGGATCCTTGTAGCAAAATTTTGGGAGGCTTTGGAACCAAATGTACACATCGTCTACTGCAATGAGAAAGCCTTTATTAGGTATTGGAAGCAAATTCACACATCCCACAGCCAAGAAATTTGTAGGAAATGGTTTTAGGGAACCTAAATTATATATTTTCATACCATATGTATGAAAACAAGAGATATGGAATATACTATGGGAACAGAAGATTACTGAGCAGTAATACAGAGGACAGATAAAAATAGTATCCACTTTCTGCAGTGGCTGTGCTGATTTCAGAATTGGAGGATTTATGTTACAAAGAAGCCAATATACCAGGTAAGATATAACAGCACAAGGAACATGAATGAAGTCATGAATTCCATGAATGTACATAAAAGAAAGAAATTAAAATATTGATAACCAATTTACATTTTGAATAGATTAACATCTTCCATTGTAAGTTAAGGACTATATCAGCCCATACTTTGACTAAAAACCAGATAAAACAAAAGTAACCAGCAAACCTGCTGCCGCAGCAATCTTAGAAAGATTAAGTAGGCGCCTTCTATCTGCCAAAGATGGCAGTGGCGTTAGTTTTGTAGGCTCTGTTTCTTCATTTTCTAAGGCAGAAGTATCATCCTGAGATATAGCTAATGCATGAAGAGTCTCCGCAGCACAGGAAAACTGATTTAAAAATATCTCATGTAGCCAGAAAAGATGTTTATGCTCCTTCAGAAAGCTAGACAGCTGCTCTTGGAATTCTTCCCCAAGTCTCAGCAGGTTAGCATATTGTCTGCGTTTAATCAGCTGCTTGAAAACAAAATAGCTGAATCCTCCCTTAGGTCCAACACTGTCATGCTACATCATGAATCAGATTTAAAAAAGTAAAGCAAACAGGTATCAAGATGGGGTTAAAAAATTAGATCTCAGGAAATCAAACAATAAGGTAAAACCTAACATGTTAAATTAAACATTTTCAGGTTAGAACTCAATATTACCAAAGTCTGAAAAAAATATATAGAAAATTGTAACAAGAAATGTTTATTGGAGATTCTGAATTGCTTTCTTTGAAGCTAAATACTTTTGCTGAAGGAATAAAATGGACAGAAATATTCTACAATGGAATAATGAGAAAAAACAAATAAATGATCAAGATCATATAACACACCATAAGGTTTCGAAGGAATGCTGTATCATTGAGGTCATAGCAGATACACCATAAAGTTTGGTAGCCTTCATGCCGCTTAGCAATTGATAGTAGAGGAGAAGCAGCCTCTCTAAAAATAGCCTCCTTTAGCTCAAAGTTTTCAACACCCTTGCATGAATCCTGAAAAGTAACAACTGCGAAGCTCATTAACATTCTCAAGCAATTACCTTGTTCCTTAAGGTAAGTATCTCGAAACACAGCTATTATAGTTTTATACGTAGTAAAAAATGATAAAGGTGCCAAATTGATCAATTGTCATTAATTAAAAAAAAAGAGAGATTTAACTAGAGCTTCATACAATACATAAACTAAATGGACACAACAAATTGGAAGCATAGTATAACTACAATGATATGCTTAAGGACTCAGGTCTCAGGATGTTTTTAGAGCACACTGCAAGTAACACTAAGCCACTAAGGTACCCAATGTAATCTGTCAGATCAAAAAAATAATTGTCAGAATTAGATGGATAATCAAACCTCTATGTGGTGTTCTAATGAAGGTCAGAGACACGTAAACGAAAGTAAGAAATAGAGAAATAGTAAAGAAGGAAACTGGACGATGGTAAAAAGACCACTCCTTTCTGCATATTCAGACCATACACATGTCAAAAATCTCCTTCATGAAAACATGAGCACTGCCATTTTCATGTTAAATACATCATCATTTTCATCTAACTGATTACATGAAGAACCAGAACCCTTTTCTTGTAATGAAATCCTCACTCGAAGTCTAAGACATTATCATTCCTTGATTATTAACAAATAACAACTAAGTTTCCTAACTTTTTAAAGCTTTATCTGGATCTATCTCGTAGATACAACATCTAGCATGATACTCCTGATGCACACTTCTCCAACATCTTACCCAATTATAATGTTAGCAGTGATCTTTTGAGATGCTAGTGCTATTAGCAGCTCACATAGTTGAGAAAATCTTATTATCAAATCAAGAACGCAAAATGGCAATTGAATGAACATAACACACATAACAGAGGTCTATGAGGCACAACTTCCAGTATGATTTAGTGCTTCTGAGGATAGAACAAACTTCCAGTAACAATAGTATTTTCAGTTGAATGCAAACTATTAGACTGTGATAGAGTACTTAAACTGCTAGTTTCTGCAACACTTGGTATGTAAATAACAAAGATACTTTTGGCTCATATATAATCATCTCCGAAGCATGAACGAAATATTAAACAGTCACATTCCACCATTATTAACCCTGTGTAATAATACATAACATTACTTGATATTTTTACCACAAGTATTAACATGATGTAATAAATTCTGAACGTTTGTTAGAAAGTTTGCATAATGTTTTATTTGTATTATATGTTTAAGCATAATTCATGAACTGTCACATCTACAACCTGTTAACATATATAACAAAGAGAAGTTGGCTATTGAAACCATTTTAGCAAGAACTTTACCCTTTATTAGACCGGGATCCTTCATATAAATAAGAGCTAGAAATCTGGAAATCATGTTCAGAAAATCTAGTAAAATAATGTTTGAAACTCAGCATTTATGATATTCAGGTCGAGGATGTTGTCCATCACATTAAAGCAAGTTGGTTAAAGTGGAGAAATATGTTTTTGGAGTACAATATAATCATAGGATGCCCGTATTGCCCGCGCCTTTAGCCAGGAGAGGGTTTTGGAGAAAGATAGGTAAGTGGTAAGCCGCAAAGGAATGATTTTTTCTATTGATTCTGGAGAGAGGAAAAAAGAAAATGTTTGATGAAGATGAAGAGAAGGTCCATAGAAATTTCTGTTTTGTCCCTGATGAAACCAATGCTATGCATCAGACTGCCATTCTGGTTGATGACTAAACACAAGATATGCTTCAATGCCATCCTTCTGATGTGGGATACGGTGTAAAAAAAGAGAGAGAAGGTCTATAGGACTGCTATTAGACCAACGGATATAACGCACAATTAGAAACCAACATGTTCACGAAATGAGTATACCAGAAATGAGCATACAGAGATGGATGAGTTGCAACAAACTAAAACCTGGGATAAGAAGTGAGTACACTCATAAAATGTTAGACGCAGCTTCAACATAGGATACAGTGAGGAAGAGCTGCTTCAGATGGTTGGGCATGCGTAATGGACAATTCTGCCAGCTAACTAGCTTAAGAGGAACATAGGGTGGTAGTTGATGGAGAGACAACAACTATGAATAGAAGAAGAGAAACCACTTTGGCAAGTATACAAGGATAAGCACTTCAAGCTTGATGACTTTCCAGATTAATCTCTCTTATTCCACTAATTGGACAAAAAAACATCTAGAAGAAACCAGGCAGATTCCAAATCAGCCAGCAAGGAGTCACATACATGATATCTCATTGTGGTGTCTGGAAAATAAAGTTGGGTTAAGTTGACAAATTTCATCATAACATAACATAGAGAAAAAATGAAATGCTGATTACCCCAAGTAAATAAATTAAGATGTATTCAGGGAGACCAAATTTGTGCAGCTCAAGTTTGTAGTTATGATGCAAATGAGGCTGACTTATCAACTTTAACATGAAATAACATACAAGAAATCAACTTCCAAAGTAAAGAGAGCAGCAACTGCGAAAAAGAGTAAAAATTATATAAGAAGGAACTCCAGCCATTTTCCAACTCATCGCCCTCACTAACTGAGTAAGTTTCTTAAAGCAGCTAAGATCTATGCAAACCAACATAAGTAGAGTAGCATAATAGATGAGTTACATTCTTAGTATTTTCATCCAATCCTCGCTAAGAAACCAGTAGTGGTCCTCCTGATTCGCGGGATTGATTGTGCTCAGTCACGGATTTTTTTCCTTGTCCAGAACATAATAACTTATGATGCATCTGCAGTTAACTTTGTTTTTCACCATTGTATGTTCGAAGATATGCAAGAAATACTAGATATGCAAGATGGAAAAAAATAAAATAAGTAAAATGCAAGATATAGAATGTACAAGACAACAAAAAAACCCTGTAAACTTTGTCTACTAAAAATTGACAAACAGATAAAGCTTCTTTCTGACCTGGTATTTTGCATCTGTAAATCTTTTGGTTAGTTCATATAAGGAACAAAGAAGCTCATCCCTCCTTTTACAGTATTCTTCTTTCAGGCCCCTATGTTCCTCCCCTCGTTCAATTTTACTAGTGATCAAACCAGTGTATGCATCCAGCAAAATATCTGTAAGCTTTTCTAGCTGAGACCACAAATTAGATTTCATTAACATGTCAATTACTGTTGTTTCCCTTAGCAGCTGCATGATGAAAGATGAAATGTTCCACAGACCGGATCGGACAACAGATTGACAATTCCATGGCGTTAATCTCTCAGGAGATGGATACCAAGTCTGATATTCATCCCTGTATCTCATGGCAGCATGAATCAAAGTTGTACATGCACTTGCTATTTCATAAGCTCTTTTCATCTGTAGTTTATAGGGATGTTCACCAATTATATGAGGAAGGTGATGGGACATACAATTGAATAGTTCCTCGATGTCGGAAACCTTGCTATAAAATACTTCAGCATTATCTCGATCCATGAGAAGAACAGTATTTCTTCGAGCTTTCTCGCCAACCAACTGAATGAGATCCCACAAAGCACCAGCCACTTGATCTCCTGAGTGAGAAGGTGGAGAATCAGACCCTTCAGGGTGATTCTGGCTAAGTAGATTCTGCAATTCCCTCAATTGGATAATACCAGAAAGTTTTTCACCGTGTTCCATGACAGTCAACAAAGATTGTCCTGCAAGTTGGACATCACAGATTCACAGTCTGAGCATGGAGCAACTCTATATGGGGAAAAATGAAGATACAAGTGAGAATACCCAGTGGCAAATTATTACTTCTAATCTGATGTGAAATAAAAACATAGCCCCATTGCTTGAGGGTTAATAATTTACTCCGAAGTACAATAGAAAAGCAAGCAACCAGACATAATATATAACCCCATTCAAATTTTTTTCCTCCTTTGTTAGCTGTCAATTAGCTCTATTGGGCTTTAGAATTGACTTATACATCAGCATTTTTACTAAGGGCATCCAAGGGGTGATTGAACTGCACATATCAAATTAAGTCAAACATTAAAGAAGATAGATAATACCTAATGCATTAGATTAGAGCAAGTTGATGGTGCCTAAGGATCAACAAAATAAAGAGTCATTGGCAGGTATCCGTTCAGTTTGGCATCATTTATGAAGAAGAGAGAGTGTCAGAACAGCAGAAACAATGTGATGTTATACCCCACTTTAGTGTCAGCAATATAAATCTTTTTCCTCCGTTCATCTCCATAGGACATGGAGTCAGCTCTTGTGTTAAATTAAATCTAGGTGAGCTGGACTATCAGAGGAAATACAGAATCATTCGATAGATTTGAATTAGTTTGTGAGTGTTTTGATAAGATATGCTGCTAGAACTGTATAGAAATGGAAGTTAGAGTCCACACTTTAATTAAGAGCAGAGACAAACAGATTTACTTCAATGCTTGAAAAAAGCTTTCTGAGGCACGCATTGACGCCTTTTTAAAGGGCAATCGCCTTTAAGTGCAAAAGTGAGTTGTCTCTCGGGACACATGCCACTTCATTCAAAGTATAACTGAAATGCCCATTTCGCATATCATGAAGCACTTCTCTTTTAAAATGCACGGTTCAAGACATGGAAGAATATAAAAATGGATTTTTGACAAAAACTAAAAAAATGTTTCTATCGCTTCATCTTCCCCGTCCACATGGTTTTCCTTTCTGTTGAAAGTAGAAAGATCAAAGCAATTATCGTATCTAATCATCACAGAAGTCTGCTTCTTCTGTCTGCTCATTGTAGCTATTCTCATTCAACTTGTTTCCCGCCAATTCTGCATTTAGACTGATCTTTTAATTCTTTGCATCTAAATGGGTTTTTATATTCATCTATAGAAATCGATCTCTTCTTTCTTGTTGTGTTTATTTTCATGGTCGTTTCTTCTCTGGAGTGTTGAGTCTATGACATATAAGATTAGTTTTTTGAAAAGGCAGTGTAGTTTTTTGACAACTCAAGCAGGTTAGTCGTTTAGATGGGTATGAAGTAGTTCTACACAGGTCATGGTTTAATACGGTCTGAAGTAGATATTTGCTTTGATTTAAAATAGAAGGAGAACTATCTCGTGAAGATTCATTGCTTAGAATTCACCCCTTCCCCTCTAAAACATAAATTCAGTTGTGACCTCTAGAGAGTAAGGTTTAGGCATATAAAGCCAGCACATATCAGCGCGTGGAGAACAACTACCATGTCAATAAAAATCATCTCAAGTCAAACAATATGTCAACCACATAGTATTTACCCAAAAGCACAGTAAACAAAATTCAAATTTGGGGCCAAACATGTAGGATATATGGAAATGATAAACTGTCTGAACACTTACTCTGCTTAGATGACAGTTCCTCATGGCATTTCGACAAAGCAAGAAACTGGAGATACTTTTGATGTTTCTGTTGTTTATCCAGGAGCAAAGATGATACAACAGCTGACGCAACAAACTCAGCTCCTTTGGTAGTTGTCCAGTGCTTAGGTAACGTGTCTACAATAGATTTGCTCACTCGAGCAAAAACATTTGTTTCACCTTCTTTTTCAAATGCTCCTTTTACTCTGAGCTTCTCAAATGCCCCCTCAACTTCACCAGACAAAATGAATTCATTAAACAGGCGACCAAGTAATGCTTCTGCCTCTTCATCTTGAGCAGTTCTCTGACCAATGCCAGTCAAAACTGTCCTTTGTCTGCCTCCAGTACTCCATGCATCAGAACTAACCCTCCTCGGTGTAATATTGCTGCCAAATGCCTGAATCCGTTTTTCTTCTTCTGCAACCCCTTCATTTGAACTTCCCTTGCGAGACAAGCTTCGCTCAGGCGGTTCAACCGCACCTAGTAGGACTGCCTTTTCAGGTATTGCCCATATACCAGCCTTCTCAGTTAGGACAACCCAGGATCCTTCGTCACTTTCCTCAGCAGATGGGAAAACAGAAGCATCTAGGACTCTGCCTGCATCCCATGGTAAATCAAACTGATAAAGCCGTGTGGAACCCCTCCAATAATTGGTCACAGTTGCAGTTCCGTCCCCTGATAATATAATAGCAGATCCAGACGGCTTTCCGCCGATACGCAACCTCATCGAAAGCAAGAAACTCTCGTCCTCCACCCTTGCCTTTGGAATAATAACTTGAAGGGGAGCTTTTCTCTCCAAAATGCGCTCAGTCATAGAGCCGATCAGTTCTTGATGTTGAACAGGTTTATACTGCATTGTCAGAAGAGAATACTGAGTGTAGCTTGAACTGCTCACCCTGTCCATACAGAAGGTAGCTACAAGAATAGTAAAATCCTTTCCCCGGTCATCTACCTGAAAGTCCAAAAGCCATATGTGCTTCTGGCCTGCCAAATCCTTTTTAATACCTAAATCGCCATCACTACCAACAATCTCTTGAGACCAAACCCTTGCAATGTTTACATCACGTGCCAACACCACGTTCCAACACTGAATCTCATTATTAGTCAACAGAAAGAATTCTCGGGAAGAATCCCGCGAGGAAACATGTTGCAGACGCCAGATGATCGACCTAGCTTGCCCTTTACTTTGCAGAGGAGAACGATCAGCGCAACTGTCACCGCACGCACTTTGAGAAGCTCTTTTTCGAGATGCTCCGGTGGGAGTGAGATGGAAAAGCCACAAGTTGCCATTAGATTGGCAACCTATCACGATGCATTCATGGGAGGTACCAGGGATTGCTGAGGCAATAAAGGAGTTGAACCAATCATATTCGGACGAGGAATCAGCTCCATCACCCGACAGACCGATCTCTTCCGCTTCTTCTGGAGGGGGGAGGCTAAGAATGGGGGAGTTCCCACCACCCACGTAAATGTCAGGCCAATATGCGAGAGCTCGAGTCCTCCGGTTGCAGAGGACAGCTCCAGCAGACTTGCAGCGTGCTACAGCCTTGTCGCTGTGTGTGGATGCAACGTCCCACCTCACTATACAGACCATCCAGGGATTCGCATGCCCGGATGGTTTTGTACTAGTGGGGGTGGTGGTGGTGGTATCAGCACTGCCGAGTGCAGGAGGTGGGATCTCAAGTACGGAGCATCCCCTCGAAAGAGTGGCGGATAAGTAGCTCCAGATGAAGAGCTGGTTTCCACATATCATCCAGGACAGGGATGATTCCTTGTCCATGCCACCAGCAGGCATGTTGTCGTCGCCTGTGGAAAAGAGAGAAAGAGGAAGAGAAAGATCAAGATTCCGAAGAGGGAATGCTCTAATCTAGGAAGAAGCGAAGCGAGCCAGAGAAACAACAACAACAACTTGGATACCGGGAATAGATTTTTGCACAGGAAGGGCTTGGGCATCACGAACGACTTGGGGAAACTCCCCAACGTACACAGGTTGAGTTTGGTCTCCCGAATCGGCGGCGGCGCGGCGGCGGCCCTTTCTCGCCTCTATTTGCCGATGGAATTCTGAAGACAAGTGAAGGTGGTTATATCTGAAGATCCAAAACCAAGGCAATCCATCAACACATGGACAGGCATAGAAGGTTACTAGGCGAGGACAGAGAGGCGAGAAGACCAGGGGGTGGGGTCCAGTGGAAGGTCGGTTGGGAACCATCGTCAATCATCGTGAGAAGGGTCGATGGCGAATCAGGAGGAGCCGCCAGCAGCACTGCAGCTTGCAGCATTCCTCCTGTCTTTGCCTTTTTGATGACGAGGAGGAGGAGGCAGATGGGATTTCCTCGTCGCTGGAGAGAACATCTCTCACCGACGATCCCGTTAGCCCCCGGATAGATTTAAAATAATCTTTGGGTTTTAGAACGCTGATATATGTTATATGAATCACAATTATTACAGTTATTAAATGAAAAGGGGGTTTTAGGGTTTAACGCCGGAGACCAGAAAGTAACAGAGGGACTATAATAAAAGTGTTTTCATTATTTTTCTTCTTCCACATTTGACATTTCTCGTACTAGACCCTCTACAAATCTTCATATTGCATCTCTAGGTCCTTACATTTTTAATTTTACACCCTCAAATCTTTGTATTTTTTCAAAGCACTCCACCAATTAAAATTAGGCTAAATTGCATAAAAATGCCACAAAGTTTCGATTATGTTATGTAGCACAAAAATACTACAATTTGTATTTTGAGCAAAAAAACACCAAAAAGTTTCCTCCACCGAAAACAACATGAAAAAAAAATAATGTTGAGACCAAAACCCCCTTTTGTTTAATTAATCCTGCCAACTCCAACCCCCTTTTATTTTTAAGCTACTTTTTAAAAATTATTTACTGTGCCTTAATTTGAGAACTTGGAGAAGGATTGTCCTAATTTCGACCTAAGATTTGGAATTTGGAGAAGAACAAGATGGAATCTGGGGACGAGATTAGAGACTAAGGGATGAAAGTAAGGAATTTGGCAAGAATAAGATTGAATTTGGGGAACCAGGACTGCAGCGAATTGGGGGAGAACAAGAGATGAATTGAGATTTAGGGTTAAAAAATGAAAGATAAATTTTAAATTAGAGAGGGATAGGTAGAATAGTAAATATTACAATGTATATGGTTAAACGCTATTCAAGAATCGCATGTGACAATCACATAAGAATTTTCTTTGATTATTCCCCTATTATATTAACAAAAAATAGTAGTGTGCTATTTTTTAAAACTTTATGGCATTTCCTTTTGTTGTAAAAATACACTTGTCGTGTTTATTGGTTACACGATAGAAACTTCGTGGTGTTCTTATGCAACTTAGCCCTAAAATTATGTCAATATATCACTTACCCCTTGTTTTTAAATAACGAAACTAGTAAGTATCATTAGACTATTTTATCCCGCTGTACTATGCATTTTCGCACAAACTACACTCAAACCAACATCAAATCAAATAATATATGTTAGTGTTCTCTTTTAGGGAGATTAGGACGCCCAGGACTAATTAAAAATAGATTTAAAATTATACGATTAAGCATTTTTTGGTTCAAAAGTGATTATGGAAGTGAGCGAATTTAAAATTTTAAAACGGGAAAATGTTTGGTCTTAATTAACGTAAAACTTTGGGCTTATTGGCCAAAAATCATCTATATCCTGCAATGAGAATCAAGTTAATAAAATCCTATTTTAGCACCTTCCCCGGCAACGGCGCCAAAAACTTGATGCGGCATAATTATGTACCAAAATTGCAAGTGCACAATTTATCAAGTTATAGTATAAAAAAATATCGATCCCACGAGGAATGTGATTTTAAGAGATTATTAGAAATGGTTCTTATATTTTATGCGTGACAATTAGGAATAAAGAATAAGTGTGATTATGATGAGTGGTTGTTTTGATTTATGTGCAAGAGATAATAAATTGAATTTTAGAGAAGAAAGAATCAAAGAATAAATGAAATCACAAGGCAAGAAATATGAATTAATAAAATCAAGAAATAAAACCAAAAATGAAAAGAAAATTTAAGAAAGTTAAGATTAATGATTCAAAAGAGGTAAGAAATCTAGAATATAATCCACTAACCAATTTCAATTACAAAATATAAACTATTCTCTTTTTATCATATTTCAACTTAGATTTATTAAGCATAGATTATCAAACCATTTAAGGAAAGTGTAACCTATCAAATTATCATCTAAGTTAAAATTACTATTCATGATAAGAACAACAACATGATAATAATCCTAGAATTCATAAGCATAACCTATCAAACCATTTAAGATAAGCATAGATTATCAAATTCTTCTTCTACCGATTAGTTCTCTAGTTGATTATCCTAAACATGAACATTTTAAGTACAAGAGAATAATTCATACAATATAAAGGAAATTAGACTAGTTTCATACAATTCTAAGATTCCTACAAGAATTAAATTCACATCTTAAGAAATAAAAACAAGAAAAAGAAGACTAATTACAAAATTAAAAAGAAAAGAAAAATCTAAACTATGAACAAGAAATAAATCTAATTACAAAGAAAATAAAAATCTAAACTACAAAATAAATTGCAGAAATTAAATGCAAGAAAAATAAATCTACTCTACAAATTAAAGTGCAAAAAGAAAATAAAAAAGACAAGAAAGTAAATCTATACTACAAGCATGAATTTAAATCTAACTAATAAGCAATAAATAAAAAATTACTAAAAAGAAATAAAAGAGAAAAGAAATGCAAACATTCAAATTGCTCTTCATCTCCATCCTCATCATTCAACAAGAGGAGAAAGAACAAATTTAAAGAGGAAAAAATTATTTTTATTAATTGCAACTAAAGTTATAATTTTTGGAAGGCATTCTCAATTAAGAGTAGCTATCCTCTCTAAAAGGAGTTTACAAAATTTTCACACCCTTAACCCCTCACTCTCTACCCCTATTTATAGTAATCTCAGATGAACATGAACATTAGATTTTGTCTTGAGCCCCAAGCAAACATCTCACTTTGAATTTCTTTTTGTTTCTTCTCTAGCCCAAATATAGTGTCACGCCCCGTTCCCAAAATACCGCGGGAATCGGGACGCGGAGCCCGCGACGTATTAAACTGAGAAGAGATAAGTGCTAGACCCGTCTTCTCAATCTAATACGCTAAGCGTCAAGAAATACAAACGAGGCACAGGTCCCGATCACACATAGCAAGAATATAAAGACAACCCAGAATAAAAATAGACATATCATAATGAATATCTCAAGAATAATATTACGGGTCAAACATGCCCTTATACAAATCTGAACAAATGAATACTGAAGAGATACAAAATACACCGATCAGGCAGGAATGGAAAGAACTACAAAAGTAAAGTGGAATCATCAAAGAATAGACTTCGACTCCTTCTTCTGCTCCGTCTACAAGACACTCCTGCTGAGTATCCTTGGCTCTGGCGCATCTCCAAGCTGAACCTGTTCTTCTCCTAAGTCTGACGTACACCAGAGAAAACAGGTGTACGTCAGGTGCATGGCGCACAGCAAGACCCCAACCCCACAAAGAAAATAGAACGACCAAAAACACGAGCGGAAAACGATACGAAAACCGAAGTAACAAAAGAACGTGCAACTGGTAATCTAACAAAATCAATATGCAATCCACATTATAATCATAAGAATCCGTAAATCATTCAGGTAACAAAAACATGCAGCTAGCGATCAGAACAATCATCCAAGCAACAAGGTTATACAATAGATGGAATTAATATCTACAACTCGAGACGTAGTACGTTGAGCGAAATAATCCAAACAAGGAAACCCTCATGTATATACCATATGTCTCAAATTATAGATAATTAAATATTAATCCCGATCTATGTATGGAAGGGAGTACAACTGGTCTACATCTCACAAAAATCCATAAATCCTAGCTAAGGTGACGACACCGATTCACCTTGACTCAACAAACCAACCACAGTGGCGACACCGATCCACTGGTAACAAGTCATATAACTAGCCATCTTATAACAGGTCACTGGTTCACATCTCACACACAATCAACGCTCATATCATCGGATAACTGACTGTTCGCATATCCCCCACGTGCATCCAATCAAATAAATTCATGAACCAAAGTAGCGACACCGATCTACTTTGACCCAACCAATCAGCCCCCAGTGGCGACACCGATCCACTGTGACTCACAAACCAACCCCAGTGCGAAACGGTTCACTGGTTCTAGTCTGGAAAATACATCAACAGTCTTATCCGATCACATGAACATTAACTTCCCCATCCCAACTCTCTTCGCTTTTCTAAGTCAACAAAACACAGGTATCTAGGTCTTATACACGACACGCCAGGCCACTAAAGACATGAACTACTAAGGTTCTCAATCACAGCATGGAACAACAAGGAACAATCAATGCAACTAATCATGTACAATAATATCATATCATATCAGATAATCAAGATTAAGAATTTGAATCATAAAATTGTTCTAAAATAATATTCTGAAATAATAAATTTATTTACTTCAAAATAATTTCTTTCACAAAATAAGTTCTTTCAAAATAATCCTTTTTCAAAATAAGTTATTTTCTCATTACAATAATTCTAAAAATAATCTTTTAAAATAATAAATTCATAAATTCAAAAATAATCTTTTTATAAGATAAATTCTCATTAACTCAAAATAGTCTATTTTCCCAAAATAATTTCTTTTAATTATATTTATCATTCTAAAAATGATTTCTTTCACAAGATAATTTCTAAAAATTATTATAATTATAATAAAATGATTCTTTTCCCAAGATAATTCCTTTTAAATTATTATAATTTTTCTAAAATGATTTCATTCTTAAATAAATTCTTTTTAATTGATATAATTATCCAAAAATAATTCTGCTACCGAAATAAATTCTTTTACTTCATTATAATTATTCTGAAAATATTAATTATCACATAACTATGATTTAAATCAATATTATTCATCAAACCCACGCAGATAATAACAATTATAAATTAACATAACAAGATAATTCACCAATTCATCAACAAACTCACGCAGATAATAACAATTCATAATCTAATTTATGCAACTAATTAACGACAGATATAAATTAGAAATGACGAGTCAAGAGGAGCGGGATCTTGCATGTACTTAACTAACCGTATATCAAAATAATAAAGACGAGACAAAGGATGTGA